TCCCCATAAGCGAACACTTAAATGGCTAGAAGGTGGGATTTAAGAGACAGTGAAATCTACTGTCTTGGAATGTTACTTTCTGTTATCTCTAGAATTAATTTTCTTCTCATGACCATAACAAAAAGATAGCAAATAGTGTGTCCATTCTACAGGTTGAGGAAACGGGTACCGGTTCATGTAAACAAATATTTATCAAGCACCTATCTTGTGAGGTGCTGCCCTAAACACACCCAGTGTCAGAACAAAGACGAAGAAGTCTAATTCTTCCTCGCAGTTGCTTGCATGCCAGTGGGCCGTGGGTGGGCAGATGAGCACACACCGGAACTGAAGAGAGAGGGGTCGTGCAGCCGGAGGGAGGGCGGGCACCACCAGCCCGGATGCCAATTCGCTGGTGCAGATGGGGTTCTGGTTTGTGCCCTTCAGAGGAGACAGCAGTGGGCCCACCAGGACATAGGAGGCTTCTCTCAGACCACAGGATACTGGACACAGGCAGGGGCCTGATAACACTATAAAGAGCAGCTTAATTTCTCTTTGTGATAAGCTTTAGATGAATGCAGTAGATAATGGAATGTAGAAAATAACACCCAGCACAATGGACCCCAGGACATAAAGGCAGGTAAACCCCATTCAACGTGTGGCTCCAGGGTAAGGAGTTCAAGGAGGATTTGAGTCAGTACCAGCATGTGGGGGCCCAGGGCAGACTCTTCCCTGTGTCATCTCTGGGTATCTGGAACATAAGAGATTTGGTTGTCACAGAGACAAATTTGCTTTAGGGAAACGTGAATATCACAGGGTTAACCTCTCAGCCTGCCAGGTGCCCCCTGTCTAGTCCATGGTGGTGGTTGCGACTTATTTCATTCTTTACAAGAAGGGGAGGGGAGGGGAGAGGAGCCGCAAGCACAGGGAGGGAGTAGAAATAGATGGTGTGAGCACTAGGAGCACATTTCCCCATCGTGTGCTTCTTAGGAAGCTTAGAGGCCTGTGGCCTCCGTTAGTCTGACAGTGTCCTCAGAAGGCAGAGAAGCTGTGCTGCCTTCTTAGAAGTTTCTCCTTTTAGGTAGGAGCACAGATGAGCGGTAGGAAGAGAGAGTCGGGTACTTTCCATTAAATATGGAGTTTAGCTCTCTCTGGCAGATCATTTTTTATCATAACTAGATTCTTTTTTTTTTTTAATTCTATCGATATTTCTGCCGTATATGGTAGTAACAAATACATATAGTTAATCTTGTGGAACTTACAGTCTAGTGAAAAATATACACGGTTTAATTACTAATTTTGGTAATGCTGTGAAGGTCAAGAAGAAGGTGCTATAAAAAGAATAATAGGGGTTCGTTGGGGGTTCCCAAGACATCCCGGGTTCGATCATTTGCTAGGAGGACTCATGGGACTCAGTATATAGCTGTGTTCGTGGCTGTGATTTATTACGGTGAAAGGTTACAAAGCAGATCAGCACAGGGAAAACGAGCATGGGGTGCAGTTCGGAGGAGACAGGCGCAGCTTCCAAGCGTCTTCTCCCAGTGGAGTCGCACAGAATGTGCTTGTTTCCCATGGCAGTGAGTCGTGACGATACCTGTGAACTGTCTACCAGGGCAGCTCACCTGAGCCCAGGCCTTGAGGGTATTTACTCGGAGGC